CGCGCACAGTCAGAAGGTAATTATCTGAAATCCTGAGAATATCATTTGTATGGCATGCTCCACTTCACAAGGTAAAAGGAAATGCAATTGGAATACTATTCCTATTTTCAATATATATTTAAATCAGGTCCAGAAAACAGTATTTTAAAGATCTGGGATCTTCTAGAAAGACAAAATTGATCTGTGTATTCTTGGGTAAAAAAACAATTAAAGGAACAAAAAGGGAGAGGAGATGCAACATTATGACACAATCCTAACACAGTGACTGGGATTACATTAATTTCTAGAAGTCAGCATACTAGGAAGCTCCAACTAATTAGTTAATACCATGACAGAAAAATTATCCAGAGAATGGAAAAGAACTAAAATTAACACAGCCGAGGGGGCCAGCGTTGTGATGTAGCAAGTTAAGCCACTGCCTGCAATGCTGGCGCCCCACATGGGTGCCGGATCGTGTCCGGTATGCTCCACTTCTGATCCAGCTCTGCCAACAGCCTGGGAAAAGCAGCAGAGGAAGGCCCAAGTGTTGGACCCTGCCACCCACAGGGAGACCCGGATTAAGCTCCTGAATCCTGGCTGAGGTCTGGGCCAGCGCTGGACACTGTAGTCATCTAGGGAGGGAACCAACTGATGGATGGAGAATCTGTCAATCCCTAACTCTTTCAAAACAAAAGGATAAATCTTTGAACCATTTCTAAGCTGTGTTAACGTTTTTTAAAGTGTCTAAAGACAGAAATACTAAAATGAAATGTAATAAATCATACAGTTGTTTCGCAAAAATCTTAGACTACACCACTTTCAGAAATCCACCCTCACTAGGGCACGAGCCACTTCCAAAGACGCCAACCTTCCCTCTGGTTTCGGGGGAGACACTGAAGAGTCAGGATCCCACAGACGGCCCTCACCTCAAATCCGAGAGGAGGTGTGACGCGCCCCGCACCACCCACCTCCCCTCTGCCAGAGGGGGCAGCTGTGACCCAGCCCCACCCTCCTCCCCTCTGCCAGAGGGGGCAGCTGTGATGCGCCCTGCACCACCCACCTCCCCTCTGCCAGAGGGGGCAGCTGTGACCCAGCCCCACCCAGCTCCCCTCTGCCAGAGGGGGCAGCTGAGACCCAGCCCCACCCACCTCTTCTCTATCACAGGGACAGGTGGGACCCAGCCCCACCCACCTCTCCTCTACCAGAGGGAGCAGCTGTGACGTGCCCCGCCCCCATCCACCTTTCCTCTACCAGAGGGGGCAGGTGTGATGCAGCCCCACCCCCACCCACCTCTCCTCTACCAGAGGGACAGGAGTGACCCAGCCCCCCTCACCTCTCCTCTACCAGAGGGACAGGAGTGACCCAGCCCCCCTCACCTCTCCTCTACCAGAGGGACAGGAGTGACCCAGCCCCCCTCACCTCACCTCTATCACAAGGATAGGTGCGTCACTTGGGCCATCTTCTACTACTTTCCTGGGCCATTGGCAGGGAGCTGGATGGGAAGTGGAGCACACAGGACTAGAACTAGCGCCCATAGGGGATGCCGGCACCGCAGGCGGTGCTGTAACAGGCTGCACCACGGTGCCCGCCTCTTCTGCAATTTTTAAAACTACTTCTCACTTTGGGAGAACCAGAGGCAGCCACATCGTGCAGGCACCCTTCTCGCCGCACTCTCCGGGGCTTCCAATCAGAGCACTGCCTCCCCTTCCCGAGGGAGGCCGCTGGCGCCCTCCAGTGGCAAGGACGGAGTGAACCACCACGGTGGTCTCCAGGCATTTCCACGGCTTACACACAGAGCACGGGCTACGGCTGTGGCATTTGGAGCAACCGCATGCTGACAGACACAACAACCACATAGTATCCACAGAAAGCTTTTTAAAAAGTTTAAACTCTCATAAATATTTTGCTGTTGTAGAGGGGTAAGAATTGACGGCCGTGAGAAAATATTCAAGGCTAAAATTATGTGAGCATTCGGTTAAAATCCTGGGCTGCACAGAATGGATGAAATTTGAACTTTTAAAGCATTAAAGAGCAGTGTGTGTGTGTGTGTGTGTGTGTGTTCCCTTTCTTAAAAACTATCTTTAGGAAGGACCATTTTAAAGCCATGGCAACACAGAACACTGTGAAATCCATAGGTAAGAGACTTCTGAAGACGCGAGTTTGGATCCCTTTGAAGCAAAATCCAGATACATTAAGTCAAGCATGCGAGGTTCAGTATGTACTAATGACAATTTCTTTTTCAAATGCATTTATCACAGCTAAAGAAGTAGGAATTCCTTATAATAATTCCTTATAATAAACACCTCATTAGTGTGCACCTCACCAATGAACACATAAGTGTCTTTCTAAAAAATATTTTACTTATTTGAAAGAGATACAGAAACAAGGAGAGACAGAGAGGTCTTCCATCCGCTGGTTCCCTACCCAAATGGCCTGAACAGCCAGAGCTGGATGGATCCGAAGCCAGGAGCCAGGAGCTTCTTCCTGGTCTCCCATGCAGCTGCAGGGCCCCAAGCACTGGGGCCATCTTCCTCTGCTTTCCCAGGCACATAGCAGGGAGTTGGATTGGAAGAGGAGCAGCCAGGACTAGAACCAGCAACCACATGGGATGCCGATGCCACAGGCCAGGGCTTTAACCCACTGCACCACAGTGCCACCCCACAGGTGTGATTTTTAGGCTTCATTATTACGAGGACGTCAACACAGTCACACCTTTGCTGGGGTGTTAGGTCTCCTAACAGTCTCATTAACCTGTGTCTCCTCTTGTGTTGGTTCCCGGGAGGTGCTGGGTCATCTGTGTGCCAGCTCGCCACGCCGTGGCTTGCTGAGTGCATCGCCGTAGTGTGAACACGCTTCTCCACGCCGCACTCACAGCTCCCACCGGCTGGCGGCTGCACCCACACGTCTGCTTCTCTGTCCAGACCCCAGCACAGGAGGTGAGGGAGCACGCACGCTGCGCTGTCACGCGGTGCTGCTTCCGTCTTTATCCTTCCAGTGGCTGGACCGTCTCAGTCCACTCTGCACGGCTCTCACAGAGGCCCAGAGACTCAGGACGGCTCAGAAAGAGCGGGCACCGATGCTCTCACGGTTCTGGAGGGACAAAGTCCCAGGCCGGGACACCGGCAGTGAGCGGGGCCTCACTTAGTACTGCGTTCTTACGGGTGGAGGCCGCGGAGGGGGACAGCACGGACGCTGTGTCCACATGGGGCAGCGAAGCAGGAACAGGTGTGCTCCATGCAGGTGGGTGGGAGCCCCGCAACCTGCGATACCTTCACCCCTGGCCAACTCAAACAACGCCAGCGGCACAACCACCGTGGTGGGCAGCAGGCACCCCTCCTCCTCCTCTCCCTCCCCCTCCCCCTCCCCAACAACATTGGGGGTGGGGGTGGGGTGGCCACTGCTCAGGACGCCCATGTCCCACCCACACTGAAGTCGCTGCTCCTCCAATTCTGATCCGGCGCCCTGCTGGTGCACCTGGACGCAATGGGTGACGGCTGAGACCCTGACTCCTGGCCACCCACGTGTGAGACACGGATGGAGCTCCCCGCTCCGGCTGCTGTGGCCATCTGGGGTAGTGACCGGCACATGGAAAACCCCACTCCGTGTCTCCCTGTCTCTCTCTCACTCTGCAGTTCCCTTAAATAAATCAATCTTTATTTTAAAACAGGGAATAGATTCCTCTTAACACAAACACAGGCCACAGAACACTCACAAAGCTACAACCGCAGCATAACCCAAAGCGATGTACCTTCAATGAAAATGCTCTGAGATTCAGACGACCGACCTCACACACAGGCTCACCCCGAGCACGCAGCCACCAAATCCCTCACTCAAGGAGCGACCCCGGGGTCACCCCTGTACCTTGAGAAAACAGGCCTGAACGGACCACCAAGGGGGATTTTCAAGGTCGCACATCCCAGCAATACCAAGGGGTGTGCGTGCTCAAATACCCCGAAGCTGCCGGCAAACACCGAACTGCCCCCCAGAAACCACTGGACAGCAGCTCTTCCGGTGCACGCCTCCTGCCAACAGGACCCCGCAAGGCATCCATCCACCACTCATACACCCCGTCCCCAGCGTCCCTTCCACATCTCCCACACGCGACGTGGGTGCCTCCTGTGATTTTGCGAAATCCACGTTGCTTCCCTCCTGGCCTCATGTGCACCTTCAAGGGGCAGTGGAAGCAGACGGTTGTCAACATCTAGAAGCAACTCGCCCAAACGCTACAGACTGCCAACCACCGGCCCCAGACGCGGCAACCCAGACGCATGCCGGAAGAGCAAATCGGGCATTCAAACCCTCATCTACCATGTTCTACAAACGACGTCACCGTCCACCTGAGCCTGACGACAAATTTCTCACTTGAAAGACGGCAGGCTTTTCCAACAGTTAAACCTGAAAGGTAAGCCGTCTTTGAATCCGCCCAGTGCCTCGAGGTGGGCCTTGTTCTGAACGCTCCCACAGCACCAACGCTCATCACTCCGGCTCCTCTGAGCGATCCTCCAAGGACGCTGACAGAAACCTGCACGAGGCGCCGTGCACGTGGGAAGGAAGCCTGGGTGCCGGCTGCCTCACGCTCCCCGGCTTCACCACCGCTTCACCAAGGGGGTTTTCTCCGAGTGGCTCGTCCCATCCCTGAACTCCTCCTCCCTGGCTCCTCAGCGTCCACACAATACAAAGACTGCAACCCCGTCAGACTGGAAGGGGTGCCGAGCCGTCGGCCGTGGCACGCAGACGGAACTCGTGGAATGGGGAAACCAGGTCTCTTAGCTCGAACCACTGCACTTGCTTACGGGTCGCGAGGCCATGGCGAGCTTACGGACTTGAAGCAAGCCCCATCTATCACAATCTCGAGAACGGCCTCCCTCTCTTGCAGGAGACACGTGCCCGGGGTTCCGAACTCCATCCCTTTCTGATCACGACGGTAATGAATTCCACTCACAGGGCCAGGGAGGGACGGCGCAGCCTGGCGCCCTGGAAATGAAGATGGAATGTGCAGAGGAGAAACCGCTTCCACTTACTTGTGCGCAGGACGGAGGGCGTGACCTCAATCTCGCTCGGGGCCTGGTAGGGCTGGAAGGCCGACGCGCCGCTGGGGCCCAGCTCGCCCCCAAACAGCTCCGGGCTCTGGGTACCCGTGGAGCTGGCGCTGGTGCCATCGCCTCCGTGGTGGGGATCCTGCTCGTCAAACACCGCCACCAGCTAGAAAGGAAGGCAGAGAAGGCGTCGGGTCACTAGGAAGCAGGAATGGGACGTTTCGGGAAGCAAACCCCATGCCGCGCAATCCCCTGGATTTCGCAGCCTCACTTTCACCGGTCTCAGAACCAAAATGGCGTTCGATCTCGCAGGACGCCAACACGCTCCTGACACGTGTGTGCACTGGGAGACGCACACTCAGGAAAGCGGGGACGTGAAGTCTGTCCGTGCCTCTGCTCACCTGCACACAAGGCACGGGCTTCCCAAAGGGGTGGGCCACTGAACTCCAGAAGTCACCCAGGGTGGCACGGTCACCTGTGACGGGACACTGGGCTACAGCAATCAACCAGGACAGCCGGCCATGTGGGGCCACCCGAGGGACCCAGACGGCACCCAGGTGAACCTCGTGATGCGGCAATGTCGATCACACGACACAGGGAGGGAGGCGGGGACCAAAGGTGGCAGCGCTGAAGGCTGTTCATGGCCCTGACCAGGAGTCCCCGCTGACCGTGACAACACCAGGGGTTAACACGGGGCACACGCAAACACTCTATATCCCAACTCTTCTTTAGTATACAACTATTTCCTGTTAAAAAATTCTTTCATGTTATAATGCATTAAAAAATACTGTAGAAATAAAAACCCACCCTGTTTCTTCTTACAATCAATACATGTTCCCAAAACATTAGTGCCAATACATCTGAAAGTCCCCAAAACTAAGCAAGCCATCAACCAACCTCAGCGTTACAGTGCAAAGACAACCCCAGCTTGTGCCCGGAACCCAAGCCTTCTGAGTAGCCGACAACGCTGTCAGTCAAATGGCACCAAGACGGACACACAGAGCGCGGGCAGTGTTGATGGCGACAACACTCATTTCAGAGACACTTTTGTCACTGTGAACAAAGCCTGCTTCCGAGACACCGGCCATCACTTGTGAAACAGCAGTGCAAACCAACACCAGGTCGAGCAGACGTGCTGATGAACAGGCCGGGGAACGCTGCTGGCGTCTGACAATGAGCTCATTCAGTAACGGGCAGGATTTACAGGGACACAGCCCTTTCCACACACAGGAAAACCGGCCTTGGTTCTCCCACAGCACAGCGCCAAGCCTCAAGACCAGGGACCAGCAAACTGTCCTGAGAGGGGCCGTAGCGTGAGGGCAGAGGGAGCTGTGAGCCCCAAGGTCTCTGTGGCCACCTCCCCGCCCCACTGCTGAAGGGCAGCACAGGAGGCGGCTGGGGTCTACGGGGACGGTCAGCCTGTCTGACCCACTGGGAGGGAGGCGAGCCAAGGCTCCAGTATGGAGAAACGTGGCGGCAGGAACGCCCGTGGCCCTGACGGGGTCGTCACACGCTGTATACAGGCGCTGAAGCATCCCGGGGTACCGCAGCAATGCACAACTGGCAATGTGCCAGTTAAAAACCTGACAACTAGGACAGAACAACCAAACAACAAAGGCAGGCGGTGAGGGAGCCTCCGCCCCGGGCGTACTTGGACAGCCACGCCCCAGACGGCCGGGCTGCTGGGCAGCTCACCAGCCACTGTATCAGAAGCCACGTCGAGGGGCCTGTGGAGCCCTGTGCGGTGAGAACAGCGGCTCCCAGCTCTGCTCACACGTCTCACGCCTCTCACCCACCAGGTGGGCAGAAGAGGCCGAGTGCTGACCTGAAGCGCCTCTGGGGAGCAGCCTTCTCTCAAGCCCCCTCCACACGCCGGAAACAATTTGAAAGCCACCCAGAATGCACCTTTCACCCCCACCCACACGATTACGCGTATTCTGAAATCCGGACGGCGCGAGGAACAAGTGTGTCTGAATCGCCGCGCAGAAGCACGGCTGGGGACTTGCAATATGCCAGCAACACACAATGCTGCCACTTCCTGTTGGACCAAAGCTGAAGCGCCAGGTGCAGCGCCAAGTAATCCCGTGTTAAATTGGGAAGGATGTGTAATTTTAGAAAATCCACTCTACAAGGACACACACAGTAACACGGGCCTTCACAGAAACATCACAGGATAAAAATCTCTCCTGCCCTTCAAAGCACAGAAAATATCTCCTGAAAGCGCGCAAGAAAAAAAATCAGGAAACGTGACTCAAATCCGAATTCCAACAGATGGAATCCCCGCGCGGCCCGTGAAGCGGATCGGAACTGAAAGTTCACTTTTTTTACTTCGGCGGTGGCTCACGCCCTCCTCCTCCATTCATCCAAGTCTCTGTGGGAACAGGCTGCCCGACGTGGACGGCGTCCATGAAAATGGGCTCTGAGCCCCGCAGGACAAGTCACGCAGACGCCCCAAGCCTCCGCTCCCACGGGGAAGCAGCTGTGCAAACGTCACACGGAAATGTTTGCACACCACGGTACGGCGGCTCCTTCGGTGGCAGGGAAGGGTGGGCGTGCAGGGAGCTGCGTTCAAGTCCAGCTCTGACCACACCCCCTGGGTAGCTCCTGGCAAACACAGCTAAGCCTCATTTTCCTGGACCAGAGAAAGAGGATGCTGACAGCAGTGGCAGAGTCGCACACGCGCATGCATGTGCCCCACACGCATGCACACACATGCACGTGTGTGAGTGCACATACCCAGGCATGCACACTTTTGCACATATTACACACATGTGCACGCGCACACACACACACACACCCCACAGTTGTCGGTGCCCACGTCCCCAGAACTGGGGGATATTCACTGCGATGACTAAAGGGACTCTGCGTGAGCCCCTGATGATGCAGCACCTAATCCTCCAGTGGGAGAACCCTCGCCGGCAGGCTGGGGCCAGAGAGAGAGGCAGGAAGACGCTGGAGGCTGTGACCCTGCACAACGCGGGAGTGGCATTGTGATGGAGCGGTTAAGCCACCCCCTGCAGCACCAACATCTCATAGGGTGCTGCTTGGATGCTGTCGGCTCCCTTCCCATCCCACCTCCCACTAATATGCCTAGGAGGCACAGAGGGTGGCCCCGGTGCCTGGACCTCCGCCACCCACGGGGAGACCTGGATTAAACCCCTGGCTCCCGGCTTCGGCCTGACCAGCCCTGGCCATTGCAGACATCTGGGGGCCTGAACCAGGGGATGGAAGATTGATCACATGTGCTCTCTCCCTCTCCAATTCTTTCAAATAAGGGAATCTTTAGGGGAAAAAAAGATGCAAAAAGGAAGCAGGAACCAAGCAGTGTGACCTGCATAGACTGGCACCAACCCAGGATGTCAGGGCTCGGCATACACGTGGGTCTCACCCTGGTGGGACCTGCACCAGACGAGGGCCTCAGAGCAGGACCATGAAGGCGTGGTTTATCTTAAAGGCTTATTTATGTATTTAAAGGCAGAATTAGAGAGGGAGAGAGATCTTCCATCTGCTGGTTCACTCCCCAAATGCACACAGCTGCCGAAGCTGGGCCAGGCTGAAGTCAGGAGTCAGGAGCTCCATCCAGGTCTCCCATGTGGGTGCAGGGACCGGAGCACTTGGGCCATCCTCTCTTGCTTCCCCAGGTGCATCAGCAGGGAGCTGGACCAGATGTGGAGCAGCCGGGACTCAAACCGGCGCCCATATGTGGTGTGGGCTTCCCGGGGGTGACTTGATCCACTGCACCACGATGTGAACCCCGAGGCGTGGTGCTTCAAGGCACCCGTCAGTACTGATCCGTGACAACAGCAACAGGAAGACAAGGCGGGGCGAGTGCAACGCTGGTGGCCTTGGGTGACAACCGAGGTGCCCGCTCACGGCTGCCACCACTGGGCACACAGGCACGGCCGGGGAAGCTGCGCAGCACAAGTGGTGAGCTCTGGCTCCACACAGCAGGACAAGGACAGGCACCTTGCTGGAGAAGCTTCTGTCTGAACCACACCTGCCCCTCAAGGTCGCTCCCCGCCCCCCCACAATCATTTTCAGTTACGGAGGAGAAAACCCAGGTGAGTAAAGCATCTGAAGGTGCCATCAGCTGCAGGCGACGGCACGGACCCTACCTCCTCAGAGCCTCCTGGATGCCCCCCAGTCAGGTGCACTGCCCCGGAGGGGGCCACACACAACACACAGGCACCTGCAGGAAGCTCCACCCACCTCCCCAAACCAACAGTTTTTTTTTTTTTTTTTTTTTTGACAGGCAGAGTGGACAGTGAGAGAGAGAGACAGAGAGAAAGGTCTTCCTTTGCCGTTGGTTCACCCTCCAATGGCCGCCGCGGCCAGTGTGCTGCGGCCAGCGCACCGCGCTGATCCAATCGCAGGAGCCAGGTACTTATCCTGGTCTCCCATGGGGTGCAGGGCCCAAGCACTTGGGCCATCCTCCACTGCACTCCCTGGCCACAGCAGAGAGCTGGCCTGGAAGAGGGGCAACCGGGACAGAATCCGGCGCCCCGACAGGGACTAGAACCCGGTGTGCCGGCGCCGCAGGCGGAGGATTAGCCTAGTGAGTCGCGGCGCCAGCTTCCAACAGTTTCTTACAGCACCACGTCCACCCTCCTGAATGTGTCCGAGAGCAAGATGATGGCAAACAATTTCACTGAGTCTTGATCAGAGAGCTTAAAGATCAGGCAGATTCTGGCTTCACCCAGGGCAACAGCAGGCAACTGAGGTTAAGTAGCACCTGCCACCTCGCTGGAGCGCACCCTATACGTCTGTCTCTCTTGCTTCCCTCATGTACAGGCTGAACACAGGCAGAGAAGACAGCCACTGTGAGACTCAACACTGGCCCCTGGGTACTCAGTACTAATACACGGAAAACTGCCCGACTACCAAGTCTACTGTCGGCCCCAGACACGGGCCAAGGCGAGTGGCGAAACACAGAAACCCAGAGTAAACGAATAGAGGCCGTGTCTGCGACACTCTCCCCAGCCAGGCAGCGAGCGAGGCCACTGTGGCTCGGGGGACTTCACCGGGGCCGGGCCCTGACGGGGCCTCCAGCACCAAGCTAGCCAGCAGGAGCACCGGTAGGCACAAAGAGCGTCGGAGCAGTGGCACGGAGCTTCCTGGGGCAGATCTGGCTTTCAGAGGAGAAACGCAACAAAAAAACAGCAGACT